CAAATGACAATTATGAAAACTTTCTTTCTTGCTTTGTTAATAAGACCCATGATATAAATACTCCTCCTTAGAGAGCGTTGCACCAAACTCTTAAAAAGCTCTCAATGTTTTGGTTTGATAACATGAAACCATCCTTTTGCACACTTGACTTTTTACCAACCTCACTGCTCAAAAGTTCTTCCACAGCGTTGGACCATTTGGTCTCTGACTGTGTCCCAACATATTTTAAACAGGCTGTTATTCATGTTCTTTTATAAAAGCCCAACACTCACCCCTCCCTCCTTGAGAATTTTATGGTTATCTTCCTGTATCTGTCTCAGGAGGTTTTTGGTTGCGGTTGCTCATTTTGTGACCTCCTCCGCTACCTTACCTTGTGGTCTGCTGCAGAGCTTGGTCATTAGAGCACTGAGGGTTTTAAAAGTAAAATGGGAGGCAGAGGTGCATGTTAGACAAGCCTTTGGAGAAAGAATTATTCAGTTGGAGGTTACATTTTTGCTTTTATAAAAACTCGATTTAATTCACCGACTTTGTTGTAAAATAAATGTAATTAAAACAAAACTGAAGCGCATGAAAAATTCAGCTAAAGAAAATGTTTATGTTTGAAATGTGAATGAAACCCTGCTGGATGTTAACTCCTCTGTGGTTCGTGATGAGGTGGCTGTGGCTCAGGAACAGATCATCTACTAATCAGAAGGTTGGTGGTGCAATCATGCCAGTCTGCGTATCACATACCTTTTGGTACTGACCACAAGATGCTCCATCAGAGTATGAACGTGTGTGAATGTTGGATAGAAAGCATCATAGAAAAAAGAGCTGGTGTGAATGTGAAAAGTTGTATAAAGTAAAAAGTGCCACATAAGAGCCCGTCCATTTACATAAGTGCTCCTCCTGTTATAGAAACAGCAGAATCTTCTTACCAAGCTCAAACACTAAATCATATAAGAGCAGGATGTCAATGAGTTTTCACAGCAGCACAAATAAATCGCTGTGTCATGAACCATCTGTGATGCTGAGGCACAGTCTGCTGTGGCTAATGTTCTAGCTCACCACACGGCACGCTCAGAAACACTCGCAGCTCTCATTTCCTCAGCTCTGGTTAATCAGACCTCCAGCAGTACTCACACTCACATACTGATGTTTAGGATGGAGGTCTTTGACTGTTCCAGTCACTGACTGGTTGAACTGGGCAGCTCCCAGTGTAACTGTGGGTCAAACTGGAGTTATTGTGACCAGACTGCATCATCTTCAGCACAGATAGTAACTACTGATCGTTTGTCTCTTTAACAGCACTGCTGGATGGAAACGATCCTGCTCAGCTGAAACACTTCAATAAAGAAACTGGAAGCTCTCTCACAGTTGGATGTTCCTTTAAACACTCTGCAAGGAGGAAGTACTTCTGCAGGGGAGAATGTGAAAGAGATGGGATTTTAATCGAGACTCAGGGTGCCAGAGCTCAGAGAGACAGATACAGCGCTGAATATGAAAAAGAATCTGGTACAAGTGGTATTCTGTATGTGACCATTAAACAGCTGAGGGAGTCTGACTCAGGACGGTACAGATGTTACCTGGACACATCCTTTACTACTGATCCATACAGAGAGTTTGAGATTACTGTCACAGAAGGTGAGTTTCTATACAAATTCATTCATGAATCTGGAGAATTAAAGGAAATTTGTATTTGCCTCTGACAGCTGCTAACGTTTGGTTTCCTTTTGTCTTTTCATGATGTTTATGTGTCAAATTGTTGTTATGTGTTGTTTTCTGTTGTTCGCCTCAAACACCTGAAAAAAAACATATGGCTGAACTTCTTTAGCAGTCCTCCCATCAGCCTCCACAACTTTCACTGGAACCACTGAGCAGTCTGAGAGGACAGCATCTACAGGTGTGTCCATCCGCTGGGTTTGAGAGACGGAAGTCTCAGTTAAAGCTTTCTGATGTTTCCTGTCTTTAAGTACAAATTTATATGCTTTAGTTGAAAAATACCACTGCAGTGTGTACAGAAAGTAAATCATGCCACAATATCTCCACCTTAAAGACATTATGTGATTTTTTTAACCAGTCCTCCCATCAGCCTCCACACCTCCATCAACTTTCACTGGAACCACTGAGCAGTCTGAGAGGACAGCATCTACAGGTGTGTCCATCCACTGGGTTTGAGAGATGGAAGATTTTATAGACGTCCATGCTTTAAGTGAATTTGTATCATTTGTATCATTTTGCTGTTATCTGCCACTAGGAACCAATCAGCAGTGAGTATGTCATGTAGACATGGTTTTATGCTCATACAGCATGACAGTCTGACCAAATTCTCCATGGAAGAAACTTGCATATAACTATACTGTACATGTGCACTCAGCTACCTTTACAGCCCACATGAAGGGCTGGTGCTCACACTCATCAGGAGGGGTTTGTCTAAAATAACGTGTTGTTCTTGTCAAACTGCTGCAGATGTGGTGCCGTTTGTGGGTCTGACTCTGGCTCTCATCATCATCCTGTTATCAGTGTCAGTGCTGATATTCTGCAAGAACAGATCCTCTAAACCAAAGGGTGAGACAGCAGGAAGCACACTGACAGGCACACTCATCAAACTTCCTGTTTTCACAGAAAAGTGAACATTTTGTCAGACATCTCTTTGCATGTTGTAAGCTGTGTTCGAATCCTCCATCTGGCCTTCCTGTGCAGAGTTTGCAAGTTATCCCTCCAACAGGCTGACGACCTGTGCAAGGGGCACCACGCCTCCACCCTGTGGTAGCAGGGATACAGTCTGGGCCCTCTGCAAACCTGAATTGGACAAACTGATGGATGGAGTTTGAATATTCGGTTGAATTACAGTCTCTGATCATTCGTGTGAGCATGAATGTGGGCATGAGTGGTTTTCTGTCTCTCTGTGTGACGGACTGAGTACCTAACTGCAGTATAAACACTGTACTGATGTGTTTTTCAGATCCTCCTGTGGGAACTGAACACGCTGCTGTCACAGAGGTGAGGCTGAAGGACTTGTAGACTCAGCACCGATGTTTGTGAAACCAGCTGATATTAGATTTCCTCTTCTTCTCCTGTAGACCAACACAGTGTATGAGAATATCCGAGCAGAGGGCAGACACAGCAGACCTCCAGCCACTTCTCAGCACAAAGTAAGAAAACACTTTCTGTATTCACGGAACAAACAGTTGTATCTGAGAAAAGATTCACACTTGTGATAAATATGAAGACACACGATATCATCAGTGTCACGTTGAAAAGCACAAAGTAAGTTTAAAGAATCCAGATCGTTATTTCAGATCAATAACCTGATGGGGGGATGCTGGATGCTGTAACCAGGTCTTGGATCAAAGGTCCGATCCTGTGACCTCTAACAGCACAGCACACAGAGGAGCTGATATTCTGATATTTGTGGCGCCTGCTTCCACACTACAGTGAA